GGATCATTTGTTTTGTTTTGTTGTTATTGAGTTGTATGAGTTCTTTGTATATTTTGGATATTAGGCCCTTATCGGAGGTGTTGCTTGCAAATATACTTTCCCATTCAGATGGTTGTCTCTTTACCTTGTTGATGATTTCTTTTGCTGAGCAGATGCTTTTTAGTTTGATGTCGTCTCATTCAATTATTTTTGTTTTTACTTCCCTTGCCTTTGAGGTCAAATTCATAAAATCCTCTTTAAGTTCAAGGTCCTTGAGCTTAGTTCCTATGTATTCTTCTATGCATTTTATTGTTTCAGGTCTTACATTCAGGTCCTCAATCCATTTTGAGTTAATTTTGGTGTGTGGTGATGGACAACAGTCTAGTTTCATTCTTTTGCAGGTGGCTTTCCAGTTTTCCCAGCACCATTTATTGAAGAGGCTTTCCTTTCTCTACCATATGTTTTTGGCTTTTTTATCAAAAATTATTTGCCTGTACAAATATGGGTTTACTTCCGGACTCTTGATTCTGTTCCACTGGTCCGACTGTGGAAGTAGGAGAATTTAAAAGATGGAGGCTGTAGATTCTTCTCAGTTGAGTTTTGACTCTGTTTTGGAAGTCCTCGCCTGCAGCGCGCACGTAGTGCAATGGGCTCTCTACCTACACTGCGGTGCTGCGCGGGCAGTGAACAGCCAGGTGGCTCAGGGCCTCTGGACTCTTTGCGTAGAAATATCCAGTTGGAAGGATGGAAGAGGAGGGCGCAGATTGCAGAGTGATTCATACAAGCCCTCAGGTGGAAATTTTCCTGACGCTCATTTCTCGGCCTTAGGAACTCAGGGTAGATCACGTCTGTGTGGACCTATCTTCCATCTTTTAAAAAGGGAGATTAAAAGCGCAGCTCTCCTTTCCTTAACTTTGAGAAGTCAGTTCTGTCCTATGGGTCATTTCTTTGGAGGAAGTGTGGGGGCCACAGCCCCTTCCAGCCAGGGACCTAAGATGCTAAACCACTTTAGAGGCAGATCCACGCGGACGGGTGAGGCATCCCCGCCGCGGACTCTAGTGTACCCCACCCCCCACGTCATCTGTCAAGCGGGTGCCTGAGACAGCTCCCTATCCCCTGATGAAACTTTGAAGGCGGTTTTTCAAAATCACCGCGGTGCTTCCTCCGCCCTTTCCTTAGAGGCTTAGGGCCGGGAGAGCGCGAGGCGTCATTTTCCTCCCATCATCCCAGACCCGGGGCCCGGGGGAAAGTCCCTGTAAAAATTCCTGGGTAGGTCCCGCCGCAGCCTGCAGCCGCCGGAGACCCGCGCGACCGTGCGACTGCGGGAGCGGACAGCCCCGCGGGCTGAGGGCGCCCGGCCGCGCCCCGATCTCTGTCGCTCCCTGCGCCCCGCCTGCCGCGGCCTCGCTCACCGCTGCGGCTTCTCTTTCCCCCGCAGCCGCGCCGGGACCATGTCGGCGGACACCGCGAGCGGCCCCACCGAGGACCAGGTGGAGATCCTGGAGTACAACTTCAACAAGGTCAACAAGCACCCGGATCCCACCACGCTGTGCCTCATCGCGGCCGAGGCCGGCCTTTCCGAGGAGGAGACCCAGGTGAGCCCAGCACGCGCCCCGCGCCCACCCCCGCCTGGGCGGTCTCGCAGATGCGGAGGTCTCCCTCGCCCTCGCCTCGCGTCTCGCCGCCCACCCCCGACCTTTCATCGGTCTGCCCGCACCCTGGGGGCCCCATCCCGAGAGCCCAGACCCTGCATCGCTCCCACCGCCGCACCCGAGGTTCCTGGCTCCATGGACACCCATCTGCGCCTCCATCCCCAGCCCGCGGGGGCTCCCCCAGGAGCTGCTTAGAAACCTCACGTTCACCGTTCCTTCTCGTTTTTCCACTCTCTACTACAGCCCGGGATAAACGCTCTCTTCTCCCTGCGGGCTGGGAGCAGCGTCCCTGACCCACACTCTTGCCTCGCTTACCGGGCTCAGTTTCTTCCCTGGGCCGTGAGCAAAACCTTCCCGAGAGATTCCGTGTGCGCTCTGAGCCCGGCGCTCTTAAATCTGTTCTCTGCGGAAATGTCAGAGTTGGAGGGGATCTTAATGATCAGCTATAAATTCGGTCCTCGGGTTTAGCAAACGAGGAAACTGAGGCCCAGAGGGAGGGAATTGATAGGACGGCACTGGTCATTAAGCATGTTCTTTCCACTATATCACATTGCAGCCTACTCCTAGTTGCAGAGCTAAAATTACATATTTTAGCCAGGGAGAGTTGGTTCACATTTTAAAAAATTCCCTGGCTCTAAGGTTTAGAGTCTTTTTCTGTAGTTGTCCAAGAAGGTAGACATCTGACATTGCAGCTAAATGGAGTGGAAGCAGATGTTTCCTTAAATGCATTAATTTACTTATCTGTTTTTAAAAGCTCCTATATTATCCTGAAAATTGTTTAGGGTAGAGAATGCAGCACTCTCCGTGATTATTAACCTCCAAGTGCAGTGTTGGCTGCTCTAAAACACACACACACACACACACACACACACACACACACACACACACAACCTGTTTAAACTCTGACTTCTATTTTCCCTTTGGTCATGGAAAGACAATTAGTTATGCATACTACTACTTGGAACTGCTGTAGCATCTCTCCCTTGGGAACCCAAAGCTCTTCAGACCTCTAGTCTCAGCTCTAACGCAGAGACATTCTTATTCTTCCCATTGTATAGGCCAGAACATTAGACACTGTCCTCTCCTCACCATGAATCATACTGAATTGAAGCTTAAAAGCTTGTAATGGGTCCTCCCATGGATCCTAGAACCAAGACCCTGGACCCCAAGTCTAAAATGATTTTTACTCATTAAGTCAGGAGCACTTTGGAGAATTTACCCCTAGAAAATCATCTCATTCCTAGGTCAAATAGAAAGTCAGGCATACCCGTTTTTACCAAAGGGAACAACTGTCTGGCTAACCAGAACCAGAACTTAATGGAAGGTGATTTACTGTAATCCAAGTCTTATAGCTCCTGTTTCTTGGAACCCTCTGAGGAGGCAGCCTGCTGAAGTTTTATCACTTAAAGCCCCATGATATATTTAGAAAAGAGGAGTGATCACAGAGACAATAATTACTCATCGTTTAGGCAGAAGGCTGTGGATTTATTGTGGATGCAGCACCAACTAGGGATCTAAGCTTTCCTCAGCCTCTTATTCTCCCACGGTAAATTACCATCATTCCCTCACCTGAAAGGCAGAATAATTATGTTGACCTTTGTAATGGCTAATACTTGGCAGTTATTGTTCCAAGTATCCTCCAAATATTATATCACCTATTTGTCACAACAGTGCTGTGAAGTAAGCACTATTAGCCCCATTGTACAGATAAGGGAACTAGGGCACAGAAAGGTTAAATAACTTGTTCAGGAATACAACTAAGAAGTAGCAGAGCTAGAATTTAAACCCCAGCAGTCTGGGCACAATCCAGACTCCTAATCAGGATGTTATGTTATCTCCACAGAGGAAGAATACAAACAATTGGGTTGGGTAGGAGGGAAAAAATGAAAAATTTAACTTATATTTCTTCCTGAAAAAAATCCATGCATTAAATAATAGTCATTCTAGGCTATGTTCGATCTTTCCTCAAGATTCAAATTATACTTTTTAAAAAGGATTTATCTTGTACTGGAATGAAATCAAGTGAGAGGCAGGAAAAAAGGCACCTGCTTCTTTCTGTGATTGAGGTCAGCCGATTCAGACCCCCGCATAGCAGGTTCATCTGCCCCTCTCAGGCAGTGCTACTCCCATTTCCCCTCTTTTACCTCCTTTAAATGAACAAATGGTAGACCCAGCCCTGAAATGAGTGGGTGTGGGGGTGAGTCAGCCTCATAACAGGGCCCCTGGCTTCCTTTTCCTGCCATGGGGCCAATACCTCCTTCCTCCCTGAGGCTTCCACAGCTGAGCTTGCCTCTCCGTCTTCCTGCACAGACCTGCAGGGAAACATCTGAGACACCAGAGCTCAGAGAGAGGCAACATTTAGCAGGTTTAGGGAAAGGCTTTCTAGGTAACCCTCTGTCATCCCTTACTGGGTCGGGTCTCATCTTCCAACTTCTCATTTTTTCAACCCCACCCTCCTGCCCCCTGCAATCCCTTCACAACACTCTCCACCCTGGTGTGCACTGGTGGGTGAGAATGGTTTCTTCTTTAATCTTCTCAAACATTTACATTTTAAAAAGTGTCTCCTAAAGAAAATAAAAGTATCTTCTGGAGCTTTCACTCCCAGTGATGTTTAAGGCAGGTTTTGTAGAAACTCTGAATAACTCATGGAAGCCAAGGTGTGTTGGGCCTACATATAAGCAGTGTCTGATATCAGCACATTCCTTTTTCTATTCTTCATTAGTGTTGTCCCTTTCCACAAGGAAAGGTTACCAAAATAATATTTATTTTATATGCCTGATTTCCTCATCCCTAATACCCCCCACCTCCAGAATTGGAATCATATTCTTCATTTTCTTACAGCAAGTAATATGTTAATAGAAGAAAAAAAGCATGTGATGCTCCTGTGAGACAATAAACTAGAGCTGATTCATATTGCTGATACTTTTGGCAGGGGCAAGAGTGAATAAAAGGTTGAAACAGTCTCTAACTGGGGCTTTGATGACCTCTTTATAACTGTTCTACTATGTTCTCTGCTATTGGGGGGATCACCTATAGGAACTTGGGATGAGGTGAAGGGTGCTCTAAATAAAATAACTTTTTAAGTTGCTTTTGCCGGGATCCTAGAATGGGTTTTTCTTGTGACAGTAATTAGATATCTCCTTTATTTAAATTAGATAAACCTTACAGAATACCAACCCTGTATCTTTTGTTGTTTTGAAGTCAGTGTTCGAAGTGTCTGTGAAAGCTCTTTCATCAGCCCCTTGGGAGGTTGAAATGATCTGGCATTTTCTATTATCACTAATTCAAGCGCAGTGTAGCTGGCGTTGGTTCTTAGAGAGGTTTCCAGTATTTTTATCTCCTCTTGATGTCCTGGGACTATTCCCAGAACTCAGTGGTTTTCGTTATTGGATGTTTTATCAGTTGAATAAAGACCTCTAAAGGTCTTCCCCTGAAAAGAACGAGATGTTAGCTACTAGAGAAAAGGACAGGAACGATGTTATTTTGCCTCAATCCCTCCCCATGGTGGTGTCTAATTATCATCTGTTCACTCAGAGTAAATAAATCTCTATTGGCGGGTGAGGGTAATGAGGGCATTCATTTATAAGCAAGCGAAGGATGAATGTCTTTCTCAGAGGATGCCTGAAACAGAGAAGGGAAGGATAAAGCCAGGTGTAAAATTAGTATTGATGTAAGTGAGATGAGATAAGATGCAGCTTTAGAGGAAAAAAGCAAACGAGTTGTTTAATGGTTTTCGTTGGACAGCAACTGGTTTGCTAAATTATTGTACATACTCTATTTAAAATATGTATCTTCAAAATAGTTGAGATTTTCTTGGACCTCATCGCATCCCCCAATGCTAGGGTTCAACTTGTTAAGCATTTGGATGCCAACTCACCAATTCACAAATGTGGTCCTTGCTGAAGTTATTTTCAGTAACTGTACATTAATATTCTGCTTCATTACTAATGTAAAAATTATGGGTGGCTCTTCTGAATAGGGCCAGCTCAATCATTTTGTCTTAAATAAGTCCTGATAGAAAATGAGATTTTCCTCCTCCAAGTTTTAATTAGCCAGTCTTTAAAACTCTGCCCTTTATTCAGCTCTAGTAACTGGAAACCCTATTGAATCAGACCTCAGAGCCTTGAAAACCTCCCCACAGAGCCACCTCATTAATGAAACTAGAGCCATGATGCTCTCACACTAGAATTCAGAGTTAACTAAACACACACATGGATTACAGAAGAAAATTGGCACCCACCATTAGCAATAGAACTTTGGTTAAAGCCGCTGAAGTTACATGAGCTCTTCTCTTCAAAGTTAGTAATCCCCAAGAGTGAACTATGGCACCCAGAGAGAAACCACCAAACAGAAGGCTTCCCTAAGGGTAGTCTGCTGCCCCTGGCTTTAGAGTACTTTTCTCTGCTGTCACCCCACAGCACAAAGATATATAAGACATTCGATCTTGACAGCTGTGTACTGCATGTCATGTGTAAACGCTATAGAACAGTCGGGGTGAGTTGTAGGTGTGGTCTCATGTAGCGCAGTCGGATTTGCATTGGTGCAGAGCCCTAAATTGTCCTGTGGCCTCACTCCCTTCTAGCTCCACAGGCATGATCCTTAGAAACACTCCTTTTCCTGTGGCTCTCACCCTTTCTTCTGATCTTGGGCTTATGCTGAACTGCGTTTCAGCTCCCTAGGTCTCTGAAGAGAAGAGATCTTCTTCAGCATGGCCCTAGGGCCCAGTCTATTTGTTCTGAGGTTAAATGTGCAGCTGGGCAGGTATCCATTTACACTAAGTCAGAGCCCTCCAGATGTTTCTCACCACACCATCTCCATCAGCACATTCCAGGTCTGACATCCCTTAGCTGTGCTCTTTCTGCTTCCTTTCTTTCCTCTCATGTGCTTACCCTTAGAAGAGGTAAATTTTAGAAAATGCAGAAGGAACAATTAGAGACTCCATGAGCTTACCTCTTTACTTACAATTAACCTGACTGGTGCTCTATTTTTAGGGATTTCCTCAAGTTCTCATAGCCAATTAGATACAATAGAGCCTCCTATTGGCAGAGCCCAGGACTACAGAGCCCGCAGTGGTCACCTACCCAAGCAGCTTGCCTGTTTACACCAGCAGGACATAAAAATATCGTCATTCTCAATATATGCCATGATATGTAAAAGGTTGGGAAGTACAGAAAGAGAATAAAGCCTGGAGATTTCAATCTTCTATCGAGCCCTCACTCATTCTCTAACTCTCCCATGCGGATCAGTGCTTGCTGCTTCTATTTCTCACTAGTCCCTCTTCAAAATTGTTGATTTTTTAAAATCCCAGTTTCCTCCTGGCCAACCTGGTCTGTACCCCACCATTTTCCCCAGCATGGATCTCCTTATCTCCTCTTTGCATAATTCCCGACCCCCAGAGTGTCATAATAAAGGCAGCCACTGTCTTTTTATATATAAACATGTTTTTGCTCTCATATGGTACCATGTTTAGAAACATCCCATCTGGGATCTTCCCTAAATCTATGGTCACTTTTGTGAGGTGAGACTACTGGAGTCACAAAGAGCTAAAAGATTCTGAATAAACTGATAGGTCCACTTTATCTTCTCTCATTGCCCAGAAGCCCTGGAGCAGAAGAGATTGAGTTAGCCTATTCCATGGATCCCCATGAAGGAGTTCTTCAAGACTGTCCAGTACTGTTAGCCATTGATTTTATTCAGCAAATACTAACTAAGTGCTACTGATGAGTAAGGAGGCCCTTGGTGAAATCAGCACACATTGATGAGATATAGCATGAAATCTCTCTGGGGCATTGAGGAGATGCTTCGATTATTTGTTCATTCAAAAAACACTGATTACTCTCTAACTTTAAGCCCTTGTGCTAGGGGCTAAGGATACAGTGATGTTAAAATGAAAATAGTCTCTGCTTTAATGAGTCTTATATTCCAGAAGGAAATATAAAATAAAAGGTGAATTCACAAATAAACAATGACAGATAAAAAAGTCCTGTGAGGGTAACAAAGTACTAAAATGGGTGGAGAACCTACTTTAGATAGTGGTCAGAGAAGGCTCATTGAGAAGCTTCTATTTAAGCTGACACTTGAGGATGAGAAGGAGATGATCAGATAAAGAATGAAGGCAGAACATTCTAACCCTAGGAAATGGCATGTGCCAAGGTCCTGAGGCAGGAAAGGTTTAAGTGTCAAGTGAGAAGAACCATCCCCATGGACACGTTCCTCACTCTCCTCCTTTCCATTTGGGCTACAGAGGCTACCTGTTAGAAAAGAATGGATGTTTCAGTTGTTTTCAGGATGTGACAGGTAATTTTTTATATTTCCCTCCTCCAGAAGTGGTTTAAGCAGCGCCTGGCCCAGTGGCGGCAGTCAGAAGGCCTGCCTTCGGAATGCAGATCTGTTACGGACTGAGGAGATGGTGGGCGTTGGTAGTTTCCCTCCACGAAGACCATCTGCTGCTTCTCGCCTCGGCTTAACCAAGCTATTTTGTTTTCTCAGTGTAGTAGTGTATGTTCCACCTTTAGCTGTCCTGTATTTAACACAATGTTGTATTTTTTTAATGTACATAACTAGAAAAGAAAGTTAACAATAGGAAGCTATGCACAGCTTCTATGTAAAGCAATGGCCTGGCTAGGAAAGTGGTGTGGCTTACTTCTCCCTTTGGATCATGATGACAGATTATGTGAAAACCATCCAAGTTCGCTTTTGATCATCACCTCCCAGTAACAATTTACTTTCAATATCCATTTCAGAGCAGGCAAGGTCTCTGTTGAAAAGATAACTTGACCGAGGAAGAGCAACATTTCTTTCTGAATCTACTTCCCCAAGTTGTTTTCCTCATGTTTCATTTAATACATCGAGGTTGAATGAGAATACAGAGGACTATTTGAGTCTCGGATTTCATAAAGTAGTTCCTTGGATTAAAGCTGCATTAACTTAGAACATTGTTAGGCTAGAAAGACAGAAACTCTGCAAGTAGCAAGACAGAAAAGCAGGTAACTAAGAAAAAAATCCAAAAACATCTTGAATTTACTGTATTTAAATGCGTTTGTTAAATTTATTTTGCTAAACAAAATGAACTGCTTTTGTCCCTAAAATGATTTTCTAAATAAAACCTTAACTTTTTTTGAAAATGTGCTGAGTCTTCTGTAGATTTTTAACTGAATAATAAGCATATCAAAGGAAAACAGAATAGCTCTAACATGAGAGCAGACTGACAAAAGAGCTGTCATTTTCTGAATTCTTGCTACTCAAAGCATGGTTCTGGACTGGTATCATCAGCATTAGCTGCAAGCTTGTGAGAAATGGAGAATCTCAGACTCTAATCCTGACCTACTAAATCAAAATCTGCATTAAATCGAAATCTGCATTAAATCGAAATCTGCATTTTTAACGAGGTCCCCAAATAGTGTGTATGCACATGAAAGTTTGAGCAGCACTGTCATAAAGGACTCTGAAGTCACTTTTCGTTCATTTTGTATCATAATACATTAAATGTCTCAACAGCCTATCAATTAAGATTGTGTTCGATTGTATAGAACAGTAACTTGATTACAATAGATTAACCAAATAGACTTTTTGTCTATTTAATTGATTAATTATTTTTACATAAGACATCAGTGGCTCCTTAATGTTGTCAAGGACCTAAGTCATTCTGTCTTCGTTCTTTGCTCTGGGCTCTTGTATTCAAGGGTGCAAAAGGGATGCTTGGGCATTGAATCTGCATTTTAAGCAAGAAAAAAAAGAAAAAGAAAAAGGCAAATGCCAGCTAAGACTCTCTCCTTTAAAAAAGGTTTCTTGGGAGCTCCACACTCAGAAACTTCTACCTATATCTCATTGGACAGAATTGGGTCACATGGCCACTCAACTTCAAGGGCATCTGGGATGGTACTTTAAATTGGGCATATAGCTGCCTTGAGCAAAATCAGGGTTCTGTTGGTAAGAAAGAAAGGGAGAATGGGAATAGATATTAGAAAGGCCATTAGCATTGTCTGCCAACCCAGCCTGGAATAACGCTGGTGTATATTTCTGAACTCTTACCTACATAGTCTTTTCAGTTCTTTAAAATAAAGAGCCCAAAATAAGAAACACGGTCATCCAGAATACAAATGTTTACAAGATCCAATTAAACATCCTTGTCAAGCTTCCTCTTCCTCTACCTTAAAACATTTCTTCTGTAAACAATACTCAGTGAACAGAACAGCCTAATCTGGCACTCTGTCCTGTACCCTCATTGGTGGTGGTCTGAGCATCTGTCAGCACTCAGCTCTGGATGCTGACATCACTTTCCAGAAAGACAGAGAGAAAGTGAGGATGAGGCAGGAATGTGTGCATGTACTAGACACTGGCAAACAGATAGGGAGGAAAAGATGTGCTGCTAATACGACTGTGGGCAAAACAGACCCAGAACTTGGTGATTTGCCCATGTCAAGCAATGAGAGAGATGTTAAATCAGGTCTAAGACCCAGATCAGAGAAGTCTTCTAGCATACCAGAGACATTATTCAAGAACGATCCATCCAGGACTAAAAGAGTTAACCAGCTGGACAGAGAGTGTGCCTTTAGCTTGGTGCCAAGAAGAACCATTTATGATAGAAAGATCACTTTCTGTGCTTATCAGGCCCAAGAGTCAAGAGTTTGAATGGTATATGCTAGGAGGAAATGAGGATTCGTGTCCTTTTTATCTTATTTTAATTAATGTATTTATTTATACAAGAATCAAGTGTTTTATTTGTTAATTTCTTGCATGTGAAATACTCCTCAATGATGTCCTTGACCTGACAGTCTTTGTCACGCCCCTTAACTACCACACTACTGCGACTAGCCATTTTAAGGGGTTTTCCCTCTCGGTCAGTTTTACAGAGACCCACCCATTCCCTAGTTTCTTGTTGTCATTCACCTCAATGAGGCTAACATGGTGTCTCCACCAACTTGACATCCACAGTTTCATCACAGTTGGATGCAAGCTCCAAAGATGGGTGTGGCGCTTGTCTGAGACTTTGTCAGCTTCGTGAATTCCACATTAGATTGCCATGGATGAAGCCAGTCTTCAGCACCTTTTGTAAAGCAGTAGTAACATCCATTACACCTCCAGCTGCAAGGCCTTCCTTAGCCAGTGGGTTACGAGTGGGTAATAGGTGGGTTACAGGTGCAGCCAAATCTTGAAAGTTCCTGAGCTTCTGCTCTGTGCAGCTGGACAGCAGCAGGGAAAGAATCAGTGCCTTTTAAATGTGAATTTGTTACCAATACGAACCTTCTTGAGTTAATTTTTTTGACTGTAGTACAAGGATATCAACAAAACCCATAAAAATTACCCATGATCCCATCACCTAGAGATAAATTTAATATTAATCTTAATATTATGGTATATCATATTGAGGGGAAACATGTTTTTGATTTTTTTTTTTCAGAGAGTCCCATGACCCCTTCCTTGGGTTTAATTAATTTGCTAGAACAGCTCACGGAAGTCAGGAAAACCATTTACTTACTAGATTACCAGTTTATTATAAAGGATATAACTTGCAAACAGCCAGATGAGAGATATGGGCGAAGAAGTGTGGAGTTCTCATGCCTTCTCTGGGCAGCCACTGTCCTAGCTCCCCCATGTGTTCACCAACCTGGAAACTCTCTGAATCCTGTGCTTTAGGGATTTTTATGGAGGCTTCATTGGGTAGACACGATTGATTACATCACCAACCATTCGAAATTAAATTCAATCTCCAGCTTCTGGCTTCCCTGAATGATGGTGGTGGGGTTGAAATTTTCAACTCTCTAATCACATGGTTGGTTCCCCTGGCAACAAGCCCTCATCCTCTCTAGGGACTTTCCAAAAATCATCAACATAAACTCAGGTATGTCAAAAGGACTTGTTATGAATAAAAAGACATCCCTTTTACCTTCATCATTCTAAAGCTATTTCAAAAACTGAAGCTATTTGAGGACAAAAGACCAAATATTAGAACAAAAGATACTTCCATCTTATCACTTAGAAATTACAAGGGTTTTAGGAATTGTGTGCCAGGAATAGAACAAAGACTGAACATATATATTTCTTATTCTAAATCACAGTGTCACAGGAAGGAAAGAGTCTTCCTAAGGAGACTATTTGCTCTTAAAAGTTTATGAAAGCACGGTGGTGAGGAGTTATGTTTATTTCTTTGTTTTGTTTTCTGGCTGTAAAACAGGTCTAGAAAGAGAAAACAATAAAGAATTCAGTGGCTGTGCACACTAATATAGCAGGAATTTAGGGTTGTGTCCTGTGGAAACTTAAGTAGGAGGATGTCTGAGATCCTTGGGCACTTAGAGGAAGGATGGAGGAGAATGATTTGGTAAGGGAGAGCAGGCTCCAGAGGTCATGGGTCAACATGTCAGCTGCACCAGAAAGCTGATTGAGTTGGTTCAGGGATTGTAAAATGACAATTATTCTATTTTATGTTAACATCTGTGCAGCACTGGGCCTATTGTTGCCATGCTGCCACTGTCCTCTGTTATCCACAGCCTTCAGGAAAGCTCTTTTACACAAAATGGCCTAGCATTGACGATGTTTTGTGAGATGGGGAAGGAGCTGCTTGAGCCATGTTTGTAGCATACAGTGGACTGCTGAAGCATTTGTTTCTGTCTGCTGTCTTTTTCTTATAAAGGGGGAACTCCTCCTACCTCATGTGGCCATGGAAGAGTAATTAATCTAAGTGCCCTAGATTGTCCACCCTATTCAGAGTTAGACACATGACCCAGGCTGACCAATCAAAATGGCATAGCCCTTTGCACACAGACTGAACCAAGGTATGAGCTCTTGATCTCAGCTGGGCCAAAGTCCTTCACTAAAGTTCTCCTAATTGGACCTGGAGGAGTTAGGGTTAATTTTCTATTATCCTCTCCTAAGAAGAGTTGTGAAGATGGAGGCCTAGCTTGCAGGCAGCCATCTATCCAGCCACATGGAGAAGGCCACTCATAATATGAGAGAATAAAGCCAGGCAGAAATGGGAGTTGGAGAGAAAGAGAGAGAGAGAGGCCAGATCCTGAGGCCCTCGTTCTAACTCTTCCTCTGGGCGACCGCAGCCTTCCTGGCTCTATGAACTAGTGAATTCTCTTTTTGGAGTATCTCTATTACCTGAAGCAAGGAGAGTCCTGACTAATGGCAGAATGAAGAAAGGAGGAGAGGAGGGCATGGAAGGAGGACTATCAGCCAATATAATAATTAAGAATTCAGGAGAAGCAGAAATTTAAAGTGAAAGAAAGCTAGGAATATATAGGCCAACAAACCTTGAAATAATTGGGCAGAGAACCAGACTTTTCTTAGTTGATGGAGACTTGAGAAAAAAATATATTTTTGCATATTAAAGGAAAGATGATAAGTAGGTAATTTATAGACATCAACTATATACTTTCTTAAAGTAAGTACAAATGTATGGTAGATAAGAGTTTATCATCTTGTTGAGGACATTTTGCTACACTCTCTTAACCTTTGCCATGTCCATTTAGAAATCTCGTTCCACATTATTCCACTATCCACTAAAAGGTCATTAAAAAACCTCATTCCAGCAGTTTCAAATGTATCTCTGCCCAAACTCAATGCCAAAGTAGCTAGCAATAACAAAGGTAGTAAGAAAAATAATTTGAAACTTTACATTTTTTTTCTCATGATTGAAATACTAAGAGGTGGTGAAGTGCACATAAGCCAGGCAAGGATCTGGGACATAAGCCACTACTTATGTTGGCAAGGTAGGAGAATAAGATTTTTTGGTTTTATGAAGCCTGGTGCTGTGATATTGTGGTCTACAGTATAAATAATTATAGGCACGAAGAAGCAAAGTTTTCTCTAGATCTTCTCTGTTTCACCTTCACCATCAATTATACTCTTACAAATATTTGAGCACTGCTGCACTGAGAATGTGCTTGCGTAAACATACATTTCAATGTGGCTTCTTAAAAGAGCTTACCACTTACACTTAGAAAAACATAAGAAACATTGGATTTGAATCTGTTTTACG